CGGCCGCCCCGTCTCATTGTCTCCAGGAAAGGCCCAGAGGGACAGCGCGGACTTGGAGACACAATTTCCGACATAGCTTCAGGCTTCACCTCGTGAGACGGAACGGAGGATCCCACTCTGAGGGTTCCTCCGGCTCTGGCGACGCGAGGGGCGCCTCCCGCGTGGTCCTGCGTTAAAACGTCTTTAAGCGGAATCTGCTAGAGAGGAGACGCGTCCGAGGGAATCCGCGTCTGCGGGCACCTTCCTTCGAGGGTTCTCTTTGTTGCGAAGATTTAGGATGTTTGTTTGTTTAAAAAAATTCTGATTTATAATCTATTTGTTTTTAATTTATGTATGGCTTTCAGGTTTGGTTTGTGTCTTAAGAATTTGACGTCCTTTAGTGCCACGACACAGAAAACTGAAAGGAGAGTTTTAAAGTACAAAAGCCGCCCCTGGGCAGTGGTCAGGCGTCCTGCATCGGGGGTTCCGGTGCCAACTGGGGCAGTCTTTCAGCAGACACTTGCTGCGCCTGCGAAGGCGCAGGTTCGCTTAGAAAATTAAGTGCTTTGGATGTTTTGAAACATTGGTGCAAATACCCATACAAAGTATCTATCATTTGTATCTGTCATTGATACCCCCTGAGACCTACCACGAAACCAAGGTGAGGAAAGAGCCTCCGGGAGAGTTTTTTTTTTTTTTTAATTTAATGTATTTTTATTGATTTCACAGAGGAAGGAAGAGGTAGAGAGAGAGAGAGAGAGAAATAGAAACATCAATGATGAGAGAGAATCATTGATTGGCTGTCTCCTGCATGTGACTGACGGGAATCAAACCCGGTTCAGTCCGTGGGCGGATGCTCTATGCACTAAGCCACACCGGCCAGGGGGGAGAGTTCTTTAATGAGCTTATGGCTGGGAAGTGGTAGAGTCAATTCCAGAACCTTAGGTCTTCTGAGTCCTCATTCAGTGTTCAATTCACTATATTATGTTCCATTTTTTAAAAAATATATTTTATTGATTTTTCACAGAGAGGAAGGGAGAGAGATAGTTAGAAACATCGGTGAGAGAGAAATATCGATCAGCTGCCTCCTGCACATCTCCCAGTGGGGATGTACCCGCAACCCAGGTACATGCCCTTGACCAGAATCGAACCTGGGACCTTTCAGTCCGCAAGCCGATGCTCCATCCACTGAGCCAAACCGGTTTCGGCTCATTTTTTAAGAGAGTGTGAGTAGTGAGGAGAGGCAAGGAGGCTCACCTACAAAATTCAGATACTACTCACTTTCCTCTTGTTTTACAGTTTAAGAATTCACTTCTGAACCTTGCAACCAATTTTTTTATTTTTTATGTTACCGTATTTTCCTCCAAACTTTGAAAAGTTGAAGATAGCACATTTGAACACATACCTACCCCAAAGTTTTAATAGTTATTACCATGTTGCCACATTTGCTTTATCTACCCATTTCAGTCTTTTTAAAAAATGAACATATATTTAGAGATTCTTAGAGAGAGAGAGAGAGAAAGAGAGAGAGCGAGCGCAAGAGGAACGGAGAGGGATAGATAGAAACATGGATAAGAGAGGAACATCACTGATCAGCTGTCTCCTGCACACCCCCTACTGGGGATCGAGCCCACAACCTGGGCATGTGCCCTGACTAGGAATCTAATGGGCTCCTTGGTGGATGCTCAACCACCACTGCGCCCACTGGGCCCATTTCACATTCTCTTTGGTGAACATTCTCAAGTCCATTGCAGATATGACAATTCACACTGAAGTGTACGGTATGTGTGTCAGTATGTATATCAAAAGGTTAGGACAATTTTCTATATAACCAGAAACCACAATCACTTAAAGTTAATTCCTACAATCTACAATATGTTTGTAGTATTCACATCTTCCCTGTAGTTCCCCAAATAGCCTTTTTAGTCATTTATCAATATCCAATCATGCATTACATTTATTTGTTAATTTCATTTAATTTAGCGTTGTTCTGTCTTTGTGTGTGTGTGTGTGTGTGTATGATGGCATTGACCTTTTGAAGAAACTGGCCAGTGATCTAGTCGCATAAACCCACATTCTGTATTTTGTTGACAGTTTCCTTCTCTTTGGGTTTACATTGTACCCTCAATTGCCTGTATTTTTTGAATAGATCAGGCTTAATATTTTGGCAGGATTATTTAAGTCATCCAGTGTATTTCACATTATACATTATGCAATATTTTTATAAGAATGCAGACTGCTCTTTTGCTAAAAGGGCATATGACTATTCATCCTTCGTGTGTGTTCTAAAATTCAACTTCATACAGTTCAGAAGTGAGTAAGTGTTGAACACAGATGTATACAATGGTGACTAGAAGGAAACATGACACAAATTTAAAAAAAAATACATTTTATTGATTTTTTTACAGAGAGGAAGGGAGAGGGATAGAGAGTTAGAAACATCGATGAGGGAGGAACACCGATCAGCTGCCTCCTGCACACTCAGATAGGAAGGGAGAGGGATAGAGAGCCAGAAACATTGATGAGAGAGAAACATCGATCAGCCGCCTCCTGCACATCTCCTACTGGGGATATGCCCGCAACCAAGGCACATGCCCTTGACCGGAATCGAACCTGGGACCCTTCAGTCCGCAGGCCGACGCTCCATCCATTGAGCCAAACCGGTCCCGGCAACACAAATTTTTTTATTCATTGGATTGATTATTCTAATTCGTGTCTACAAATCTAAAACTGAAAATATCTTGCAGTTACGAAGCAAAGAAGATGCCTACCCTCTCTTCAATAAAATTATGAACCATCAAAGGTTTCAAAACATTCAAATATTGCATTGATGATGTACATGCAAAATAAAGACCCAAAAGAAATGATAAGCTAGAACTTACTAGGGAAGTATTTGATATCTCAAATCAGTATTTACAAGATAAATATGTTCCAGGTTCACATGTGACAGTCGATGAGAAGTTACTTTTAGTTTTTAGAAGCATATTGTTCACTCATTGATTGTGGAGTTGGAGAAAATTTGTTTTGGATATCTTATCTGAAGACAGTGACATTTCCCAAATTTCCTTTGTCATTAGAGTCTGAAGTGCTTGCTATCCATCTTTGCCTTGGTCTTCAGGTTCATCTAATAATTGTGAAATGTCTCCTTTGTCAATTTTCTTTTGTCCTATTATGGGTAGGAAATAAAAAGTTCTGAGTTTTTAACTGTATTCATTGAAAACTAAAAGCATATGAAGAGGATCAGGATATGCCATCCAATTATGTGCCACTTTGACATAAAGATTAGTTTGAACAGAAGGCAGTTGAGACTCAACAGATAGAGTTTTTTTGCCCTCCCATTGTCTGCCTAAAGTAGAGCATACATTTCCTTTTGTGTCATACCCTTTTCCGCATACCAGGAAGGAAAGAGAAACTCTTACCTTCTGAGATGCAGAGTTGATACTGAGATGAGTTTGCATAAACAGACCTAACTAAAATAACCCTTATCTTTCATTATAGTTCATTATTTTTTACATATTTCCTAGTTAGAACTTCCCTATGATTTGTCTCTCAAAGCTCAAATCCTCTTTCCTTTAAAATGGTATATAAGCCCCTGAGCCTAACTGCTTCTTTGAGTTTTACCCCTCTTGAGTGAACTCTGAGGTATGTAAACATTAATAAAAATTATGTGCTTTTTCTGTCTTTTGTTAGTTCAAGTTGAAGATCCCCAGCTACTGCAACCTAAAAGGGTTGAAGTAAAGTTTTTCCTCCCAACACAGACCACAAAGATGATGTCTTCAGTCTTCTATACCTTTCATTTTTTTGAAAGGTGATACAATAAGCAAAACAATTAGCTGAAGAAAAAGATAATGAAGTATAATGTATTAATGATGATTTATTTCATCCTTGGATTATCCTATTATTACTTTAGTTTTATTTTTTAAAAGCATAGTTGTTAATAATTGATGTGCAATGGTGAAATCTAAGATGATGGAATTAACGAAATATTTCAAAGTGTAGGAAAACTGAAATCACTAAGATCCCATAATGTAGCTTAGATTTATAAAAGGATTCTGTAGACTCATAGTACTCAGAAGATAAAATGAGTTTTATTTTATTTAAGAGTAATAAATTTCCCTTTGCTCTTTGAAGATCTCAGGGTAACATTAAAGGTAAAAAAAATGTCAATCTTTACAACTATAACTGCCCAAGAAAGAAAATAAAAAACTAAAAGAAAAGAGAAAAATACCCTAAAGTTGTTCCTATGGACTCTGATAGTATACTGAAGGTGAATGATTAATTTGGACAATGAGATCTAGAGGTCCACCCTTTCCAACACACACAATAAACCTGTCTGCCTCTCCTCCTACTATCATGATAGGTTTGTCAGCCTTTTGTACTACATCTTGAATGAATGCAGGTAGTACTTAGTTATTTTTTGAAGTTCCAAATTTTTTTTAAAATATTTTTTTCCCTTCTTTCCAAACTTTACCTTTAGAGATTTTCCATAGTAAAGAATGTTTGAATGGAACACTGTAGGATCAGGATATATTATTTAGGCCTTTTGGTGAACTGGATTAAACCAAAAATATTCTTTATTTCAATTATATTCATTGTGAACATTCTGTTTTTCTGGTTTAGTACACCATGATAAACAATATGTGATTTTTGGAATGATGTTGATTTTGCTTCTTTGTGTTTTTATTTATTTTTTTTATTTTTCCTTTCTCTGATACTTGGAGGTAAAGTTTTTGTTTTCTTTTTTTTTAAATTAAATCTTTATTGTTCAGATTATTACATTTGTTCCTCTTTTTCCCCCCATAACTCCCCTCTTCCCAGTTCCCACCCCACCCTCTGCCCTCACTCCCCACCCACTGTCCTCATCCATTGGTGCACGATTTTTGTCCAGTCTCTTCCTGCATCCCCCACACCCCTTCCCCCCCCCCCAAGAATAGTCAGTCCATTCCCTTTCTATGTCCCTGATTCTATTATAATTACCAGTTCATTCTGTTCATCAGATTATTTATTCACTTGATTCTTAGATTCACTTGTTGATAGATGCGTATTTGTTGTTCATAATTTGTATCTTTACCTTTTTCTTCTTCTTGCTCTTCTTAAAGGATGCCTTTCAGCATTTCATATAATACTGGTTTGGTGGTAATGAACTCCCTTTAGGTTTTTCTTATCTGTGAAGCTCTTTATCTGATCTTCTATTCTGAATGATAGCTTTGCTGGATAAAGTAATCTTGGTTGTAGGTTCTTGGTATTCATCACTTTGAATATTTCTTGCCCCTCCCTTCTGGCCTGCAAAGTTTCTGTTGAGAATCAGCTGACAGTCATATGGGTATTCCCTTGTAGGTAACTGAGTTTCTTTCTCTTGCTGCTTTTAAGATTCTCTCTTTGTCTTTTGCTCTTGGCATTTTAATTATGATGTGTCTTGGTGTGGTCCTCTTTGGAATCCTTTTGTTTGGGGTTCTCTGCTCTTCCTGGACTTGTAAGTCTATTTCTTTCACCAGGTGGGGGAAGTTTTCTGTCATTATTTCTTCAAATAGGTTTTCAATATCTTGCTCTCTCTCACCTCCTGGCACCCCTATAATTCGGATGTTGGTTTGCTTGAAGTTGTCCCAGAGGCTCCTTATACTGTCTTCATATTTTTGGATTCTTTTTTCATTTTGCTTTTCCGGTTAGGAATTTTTTGCTTCTTCATATTTCAAATCTTTGACTTGATTCTTGGGATTCTCTTGTCTGCTGTTGGATCTCTGTATATTATTCTTTATTTTAGTCAGTGTATGCTTAATTTCTAGTTGGTCTTTTTTCATATCCTCGAGGGTTTCACCTAGTTTATTGGCGGTTTCTAGAAAATTCTTGAAAAACCTTACAACCGTGGTTTTGAACTCTAATATCCAGTAGTTTGCTTTCCTTTATGTCTGTCATTTGTGATCTGTTTCTTTGTCTCTGCATTTTGGCTGCTTCCCTGTGTTGATAGAGTGGCTTTGTGTGCTCGGTGTCCTACAGGGCCCAGTGGCTCAGCCTCCCCAATTACGTGAGGTGGACAGTTTTGGTCTACTCCTTTGTGGGCTTTGTGCACAGTCTTCTTGTAGTTAAGCCTTGATTGTTGTAGATAAAACTGGGAGGAATTGACCTCCAGGCCAATTGGCTTTGAGAATCAGCTGTGTCTACGGTGGGAGCACTTGCTTGGGTGGAGCGGGGTCTCAGGGTATCAACAGGGTGGAGCAAACAGCTATGGCTGATCCTCAGCCCTGTCCTAAGGGGTCTCCAAGTCTCAGTGTCCCGTCTCAGTGTCCTGCAGTTATTGCTGCAAGCACCTCTGAGAGAAAGCCTCCCTCGAGTTCAGACCGATGCCCGAGAGTCCCGTTTCTCCCCAGAGACTCACCGGGAACTGGAGTTCAGAGCAGTTGGGAGCTTGAGACTCCCTCCCGATTGAAAAAGACTCTGGAGTCTTCTGTTGCCAGCCCTTTCCGAGCGCGCGCCTCTGTACTTTACTTCTGCACCTCCTGAGTCTCAGTGTGCTTTTCTCTTTCCTTCTAGTTGTAGAATTTCCACACAGCCAGCCTTCCTGTGGTTCTGGATGATGTCCGTTCAGTCTTTTAGGTGTAATTTGAATTGGTTGTTCGTGGCAGCAATCTCCGGCGTTAACCTATGTCGCCATCTTGGTTTTCTCCAGTAGAACATTTTTCCGTTTTGTCTTTTAGTTGGATTTTTGATTTGAAATTGCAAGGCAGCAATTTCCGGTGTTTACCTATGCTGCCATCTTGGTTTCTCCTATAAATTTTGTTTTTTGAGCAAATATAAAATTTTAGATTTTACCATTCTAGCTTGTTGACATTTTTTGAAAGCCTTGTTTGTTATTTACCATACACTATACTATTTACTCATCTGTAAATTTAATGTGCACACAGTTTGTTCCTTGTCTAAATCATTACAATGAATATTGCTCTTTGTTAAGGCATATAATGTATTGGAATGCCCTTTTTATCCCTAAACTATAATTCAAACTGTATCTTCAATCACCTATCCATTACATCACACACCAAAACTCTGATGAGCAGGATTGGGAATAGGGCAGGGGAAGAAATAAGGATTTATACTTTTAAATGTTTATCGAGAGAATATAACCAAATTTAATACATACATATGTATGGGAACCCCACATACATGAGAGAGTTAGAGACCCCACATGCAGGAGAGGTTGAAAATGCATAGAAAGGGGGATTGAAGTACCTAAGACTTCCTGAGTTAGAGATGAGGTAATAATGCATCTTGGGGGCTTCAACAGGTCGGGTCATTGCATGATGATAAGAAGAAAAGACATTTAGTAAATGGAAGTTTGCCCTGCAAAAGAAGTTATCTCTGATAATCTCTTATGGGCAAGGCCCTTAATTCAAGTTCTTCTAGGTCAGCGGTTCTCAACCTTCCTAATGCTGCGACCCTTTAATACAGTTCCTCATGTTGTGACCCCCAATTTCATTGTTACAAATTGAACATAATTAAAGCATAGTGATTAATCACAAAAACAATATGTAATTATATATGTGTTTTCTGATGGTCTTAGGCCCCCTGTGAAAGGGTCGTTCGACTCCCTAAGGGGTTGCGACCCACAGGTTGAGAACCCCTGTTCTAGGTAGTTAAAGGGAGGGGCATAAGTTTCTCTTGAGCCTGTAGCTAAATTGTCTTTAGCTCAGAACAATCTGGATATTACAGAGACTGATCTTGGGGTACCTCATTCTGAACCCCCACAGTTCTACCCTCTGAATCTTCCCTGAAAGTTGCACATTCCAGAAGTTGGGCTGATAAACTTCTGTCATTAAACCAGTCTCCGTCTTGAGAAAAGTTCAAACAGTTGTTTCTCATTTCAGGAGGCAGTGATGTCAGTGGGCAAGGATTCATACTTTTTACTGCATATACTTTTGTATGATTGAATCATTTTTAATGAACATTTTTACTGGAAAAAAACCACTGAGAAAACATCTTTCTTGTAAGGATTAATGTGTATGTTTCTTCTATGTGGAACATATCCAAATTCCCCAGCTAGATGTGATTTTTTTTTTTAACCTTCTAAAATAGAGATTCTTAGCCTTTTTGGTTCATAGACCCTCATGAGACTATGATGCTCCCTGAAAATGTACAAGTATGCACAAAATTTATTTTGCACATTTCATATTTCTGTGGTTCCCTCAACACCTTGTCAGGAATCTTTGTTATAGCACTGAATAGTTTTATTATTACTCTGTCATGCTCTATTTTGTATGTATTTATCATAATCCTACTAGTTTCTTGAGGTAGGGACTTTTTTCACATTCTATGCAGCATTGAGAATTGTGCCTTATATTAGAAAGTGATTGAGTGTGTTATTTTTAAAGCCTTAATTGTTTATATTTTTTTATTGTTTTTAGAAAATCTGATTGAGCTCACTAATTTGGAGGATTGTTTTGCCTATAGTGGAGGAAAAAAACCCTTTCCTTTATCCTTAGGTTAAGTGCTTAGGACCTGCAAATTAACAGAAGAAAAAGTATACAAATTTTATTTAATGTCAATGTTTTAATTTTTATGTTCATGGAGGTCTTCATAAAAAAAAAATGACACAAAGAAGTAAATGTAGACACTGAGGCTTACATGTACCATTTTAACGAAGGATGATAATTTTGTGGAGAAGTGTCAGGACAAAGGAAAAGGGGTTTGGGTTTGTAAGGAGTAATTTAAAGGAAGGTAAACATTTAAGGGAAACTCATGGAAGATAAGAGCTTTTTAGTGAGATTTGTTTGTGTAGATCCATCTTGGTGCTGACCACGTTTCCAGTGATAATGGCAGTTTTTCTTTCTGGTATGAGAGAGGGGAAGGGGAAAACCTTCACAACAGGAAAATTCTGTCCTTCTTTGATAGGGGAATGGCAGAGATCTCTTTCTGTGTTTTCTGTTTTTTTAATTGCCTTCAGATCAAAACAGTCTTTATGACATATTTTGGGGTGGTCTATTCTGATCCCCTTCGACTTTAAGGAATTCATCTGAATTTCTAATTTCAGAGAATTAAAGTGGTAATTTTTTGAGTACCTACCAGAGAATGAAGTTTTTTCTCTAAATCAGGGTGGCAGACAGGAGAATTGAACCTTTTTCTTGGAAATAGCCAGCCAGGGCAACTTCTTTTAGGACCTAGATTTCTTTTTCTATCCTCGTTCTGATCATATTTGTAGGCTACTTTTTTCCAGACTGAGTCCCAACCCTTCTCCTTTTCTGTTTGCCTGTTAAGATTACTGAATGTATAATCTTTTTAAAAAATGACATTTGAATTTTTTGGTTTATTTAAAAAAAACTTTATTCATATTCTCCCTTATTTAAAAAACAAAACTGTGTATATCCATATTCTTTCTTATTTAAAAAATAAAACAATATATATCCATAGTCTCCCTTTTTTAGGTCTCTGTCCTTTTCTTGGAGTGACTATTTTCAGAATGGAATATTTTTCTTAAAAAAATTAGGTTCTTTTAGAAATTGAATGAGCTTTGATATCATCTAAAGTTTCTATGCCCCTCAGTATTTTGTCTGTAGTATTTTAGCTGCTAGTGATCTGATGTTTCTAATTGTGCATTTTGTGTGGTTGGAATGTGCCCTTTTCAAGAATATGTCTGTGGTGGTTAACAACTGGACTTATTCTAAAAACATACTTAGTTTTCTAACATTAGAGCATTCTTTAAAATAACAAGCATAAAAGGAGATACTGATCTACTTAATGTTTGTAAAGAAAAATTTTAGTAAGTTTATTTATAAAATTTCATATTCAAAGACCAGAACTTTATCAAATTTTAGTTGTGGGTCTCTCAACTATGTATGAGTTTAATGCTTGCGATTTAAGGTTTCTATTTGTGTGGTTTGTCTTATAATGCCAAAGTAGACATCAAAATTCATTGCTTTTCACATCTTGTTACCATTCCTTTCCATAATAAAATCAGTGATAAATATAAATAGCCTTAAAAACTTGATATAAACAAGCTTTTCTGTAAAGTTGTATTTATTGTTGAAAGTATTACAGATGTCTCTCCACTCCCTCCACCATTGACCCTGTCCACCCCACTCCCACGTCCCAGGCCTTCCTCCCATACCATTGTCTGGGCATGGCTATGCATATATGCATATAAATTCAATGATAAACTATCACCTCTCCCCCTTCCCTCTGAAATATGCCAGTCTGTTGCATGCTTCAGTGTCTCTGGACCTATTTTGTTCATCAGTTTGTTTTGTTCATTAGATTCCACATATAATTGAGATCATGTGATACTTGTCTCTCTGACTGGCTTATTTTACTTAGTGTAATACTCTCCAGGTCCCTCCATGCTGTCTCAAAGGGTAAGAGATCCTTCTTCTTCTTTTTTTTTTTTAATAGCTGCATAGTATTCTAGTGTGTAAATGTACCAGTTTTTTAATCCATTCATCTACTTGGGCTGTTTCTCAGTCTTAGCTATTGTAAATAACACTGCTATGAACGCAGAGGTGTATACATTCTTTCTGATTGGTGTTTCTGGCTTCATAGGATCTATTTCTAGAAGTGGGATCACTGGATCAAAAGGCAGTTCCATTTTTAATTTTTTGAAGAAACTCCATACTGTTTTCCATAGTGGTTTACCAGTCTGCATTCCCACCAGCAGTGTACTAGGGTTCTTTTTTCTCCACATCCTTGTCAGCATGTGTTTGTTTATTTATTGATGGTAGCCATTCTGGAAGGTGTGTGGTGATACCTCATTGTCATTTTAATTTGTATCTTTCTGATAAGTAGTGATGGTGAGCATTTTTTTCATGTCTTTTGGCCATTTGTATGTCCTCTTTGAGGAAATCTGTTAGGTGCTCTGCCCATTTTTTTACTGGGTTGTGTGTCTTCCTTTCATTGAGTTGTATGAGTACTTTATATATTTTGGAAATTAACCCCTTATCAGGCTTATCATTTGGCAAATTTGTTCTCCCATACAGTGGGTTCCCTTCTTATTTTGGTGCTGGTTTCTTTTATTGTGCAGTATTTTTAAGATAATGGATATTAAAATTAATTTTCTAGTATCTACTTGAAATAGTTGGAAATTATTAAGATCACAAAACTAGAGTTGGAAATATTAGAATGTTACTTACAGTTAAGAACTCACTTTGAATCCTTAAAGCTCTATTCCTTTGGGATTAGAATTCTAAATTATAAACCTGCATAGATATGCCACTAGTGACAAAAATGAAAGAATTGTTTGTAAAATGAAACAACTTAAAGCTTTTATATTAGTGAAATGATATTAATGCCTGATTCCTTGGGAAATTTGAGAGCAAACAAGTCACTTTTTGTGACAGATCACATTTTTCTGAACCATGTTTAAATTACTGTGTCATACAAATCATCCCATTAAAAAAAACTCTCCTACGTATACAAGCAAAACTGTGAAAGGTTTAATGTTTCTTACATCTAGCCTGTTAATCTTAGACTAATTTGAGTTAGTTGAACTTTATTTTTATATGCTATACTTATTTTGAATATAAAATTTTACTATTTGAGATGATTATATTAATTTCTTACATTTTTCCTTTTATGTTTAGTTCATCATATCTGGTTTTGGTGTTGTCAGCTTCTTGGATAGGAGTGCAACCCCCAATTGAATCATTTTAATCCTGAGAAAAAAACAAAGATAGACTTTATAATGTGGTTTCTTGGATTATTTCATTGAATAACTCTAATTTTTAGAGTTTGAGGAGATGGAGAACTTCCTCACATTAACTTTTGTATTCTTTATCACGCACTCATTTTTAAAAATGATTTTTTAAAAAATACGTATTTTATTGATTTTTTTACAGAGAGGAAGGGAGAGAGATAGAGAGTTAGAAACATCGATGAGAGAGAAACATCGATCAGCTGCCTCCTGCACATCTCCTACTGGGGATGTGCCCGCAACCCAGGTACATGCCCTTGACCGGAATCGAACCCGGGACCCTTCAGTCCGCAGGCCGATGCTCTATCCACTGAGCCAGACCGGTTTTGGCTAAAAAGGATTTTTTAAGAAATTAAAATATAGGAGTGTATGTAGAATCAAAGTGGGTGTTTTCTAAAATGATAATGGTATAAACACTTTATCCAGATATTATTTTTTATGCATTTCCGTTAGTATTTTTGAATTAGATACTTGTTTTATTTTATGAGACTAGTAGTACATAGATAATTTAACCATGCTGATGAATTGTAGGTAAGTGTACTATTATATTTGTTATGTGTGTTTTAACTAGTTAATAAATGCTTTTTTAAAAAGCTGAAAATATGGCAAGATAGAGTTGACAGCCACATTCTGGAAGGCATAAAAGGCTAAAATTTCAACATGAGAAATATGACTATAATGAAGATCTTATATAACAAAATGATTTGTAAATGCTCAGCTCATAAATTTCATTATAACAAAGTTGTGGTCTGTTCTTAAGAGTTCTTTAAAGTGGGATTTAGCTCAAAGTTAAAAATAGTTAAGATTTAATGAATAATTTTTGTGTGCCAGGCACTGAGCTTGTGCTTTATGTATATTACCTTATTTATTTTTCATTATATTTTATATTGTAATATAAAATATATGTAGTAAATAAAGCAAGGCACAGAGATGAACTAACTTGCCCAGTGTCATATAGCAAATAAGTGATTGAGCCAGAACTTGAATCTGACATTCATTCTTCAGCAAGTTTTACTGTTTGTGGTTAATAAATGTTTAAAGAATACAGTTTATGGAACACAACTACAGGCCACTATGTTCTGGAAATGTGGGAAATTGGTTGAAATCTTTTTTCTCTTGTGATTACTATTACTATGTTAAGCTGTTGACAGATCTGTTTGGTGTTTTTTAAAAAAAATAATAGAGTTGTTTACTATTTAGAAAAAATAAAGTAACAGTTTATAGTGAAGTCTGAAGTATAGAGCTAAATTGAACCCTAGAGATCATTCATTTGAACTAAGAGCTTAGACCCAGACTTGTAAGGTGACTTGACTAAAAGCTGTGGCAGTATTGGGGCTATGACTTGTTCTTCTGTCTACTAGCCTACTGCTCTTGTTTTATGCTCAGACTCTAGTTGTGGTTTGTGTAATTGCTTAATCTTTTCTCAGAGAGTAAATAGGACTATATCTAGTACATGGTATACCTATGCTATAGTGTTTGCTATGTACTAGATCAAATGTATTACCTTTGTTATTTAACACAGTGACATTGTATCAGGTGACATCTATCAATGTATAAAAGTAAATTTTTCAAGCAATTGAAATTTAGACCCTCATTTTTATTAATTTTTTGTTTTGTTAATCCTCATCCGAGGATTCCATCCCCCTCCCCCATTGATTTTTAGAGAGAGTGGAAGGGAGGGGAACAGACACAGAGAGAAACATCCATACTAGAGAGATACATTGATTGGTTGCTTCCCACACGCACCCCAACTGGGGCGGGGATGGAACCTGCAGCTAAGATATATGCCCTTTACCTAGGAATCAAACCTGCGACACTTTAGTCCATGGGCTGGCGCTCTAACCACTGAGCAACCGGCCAGGGCAATGGAACATTTATTTAAGATATAATTTATTATGTTAGATATGTAAAAGCTGAAACAAAAAACAATAAAGTAGGGATTGTAATTATTTATATTAGCAGTCTCAAAGTGAATGAATTAAAAAGTCTTTGTTAATAAGCTATTTGGAATCCCCCTCCCCACCATAGAAACAGATGTATTAAACATGGGCATGAAGTTTCTACCTGAGTTAGTAGCTGAAGTAGATAGCGTGTTCTCTTGTTCTGACTATTTTGGAGCCAACTCTGAGCTGCAGAAGCTAGAGATCTTTTGGATCTTTGAGATTCCCACTGCATATACACTGAGTGGCCAGATTATTATGACCACCCCATCAGTACTTCATTGACACTTCCAAAAATACTGAATATTGAAAACTTCCTAAGCAAATACTCTCAAGGTTTTATTATTATTATTTGCATAACTAATTCACTTCATTGTACTGATGGCGTGGTCATAATAATCTGGCCACTCAGTGTATTTGCTGGATAGTCACTTCAAATGGCAGCTGATTTAATCCTTCATAGAATTCCATGCGTTACCACCAAAATTCTGAAGTGGTGACTCTTGAGAAGTTTTTATGGTGATGGTTTTGGTATGCTTCAGTGGTTGAGATGCCAAAGGAAATCATGAAACTGGATTGTTTGTTTGTTTATTAACTAAGGCAAAATATGGTAATGATTCTTTTTAATTTTTTTTTATTTATTTCAGAGAGGAAGGGAGAGGGAGAGAAAGATAGAAACATCAATGATGAGAGAGAATCACTGATTTGCTGTCTTCTGCACACCCCCTACTGGAGATCGAGCCCGCAGCCCGGGCATGTCCTGACTAGAATCGAACTCAGGACCCTTCAGTCCACAGGCTGACACTCTATACACTGAGCCAAACCGGCTAGGGCTGGTAATGATTCTTTAGACCAGCATTGTCGGATAGAAATATCCTGTACCTGCACTGTCCAGTACAGTAAGTCACCAGCCATGTGTGATTTTGAGCATTTGAAAAGTGGCTAGTGAAACTGAATTTTAAAATTTATTTAACTCTAATAAATATAAACTTAAATAGTTATATGTGGCTAGTGGCTACTGTATTACACAGTGCATTTTTAGGCTGACATAGTGGTTCTAATTGCACCAGAGGTTTTCCAACTTAATTTTTTTGCAAGTTATATTTCTTTTTTTAAAATTCTTTATTGTTGAAAGTTTTACATATGTTCCCCCCCCCCCACCTCTCCCTGCCTGCCTCCGCCCACCAGCATATGCCCCCAGCTCCCTATTATCTGTCCATTGGTCATGCTCATATGCATGGATACAAGTCCTGGGGTTGATTTCTTACACACACACCTCCTTCCCTGCCTGTCCGCCCACCAGCATATGCCCCCAGCTCCCTATTATCTGTCCATTGGTCATGCTCATATGCATGGATACAAATCCTTTGGTTGATCTCTTGATTCAGCATGCCTTCCCTCTGAGGTTTGATGGTTTGTTTGAGGCCTCTATGTCTCCGAATCTATTTTTTTTTTCTCTAGCCAAGTTCTCCAGCCAAGTTCTGTGTTTATTGTCTTATTACATCTGTATTTATACCAGTTTATTTTATTTTATTTTTTATTATTGGTTAAGGTATTACAAGTGTGTCCTCATCCCCCCCATCCAAATCTATTTTTATTCACCAGTTTATGTTGTTCAATATATTCCACAAATGAGTGAGATCATGTGATGTTTATCTTTCTCTGACTGGCTTATTTCGCTTAGCATAATGCTCTTCAGGTCCATTCATGCTGTTGTGAATGGTAAGAGTTCCTTTTCTTTCTTTCCTTTTTTAACAGCAGCATAGTATTCCATTTTGTAGATATACCACAGTTATTTAATTCATTCATCTGCTGATGGGCACTTAAGCTGTTTCCAAATCTTAGCAATTATAAATTGTGCTACTATGATGGTAGGGGTGCATATAAGCTTTCTGGTTGGTGTTTCTGATTTCTTGGGATATAGTCCTAGAAGTGGAATTATTGGGTCAAATGGGAGCTCCATTTTTAGTTTTTTGAGGAAACTCCATTCTGTTTTCCATAGTGGCTGCACCAGTCTACATTCCCACCAACAGTGTATGAGGGTTCCTTTTTTACCACATCCTTGCCAGCACTTGTCATTGGTTGATTTTTTGATGATAGCCATTCTGACAGGTGTGAGATGGTACCTCGTTGTTTTGATTTGCATCTCTCGGATGATTAGTGACTTTGAGCATGTTTTCATATGTCTCAGCCTTCTGTATGTCCTCATTCAAAAGGTCTATTTAGGTCCTTTGCTCATTTTTTTTTATTTGATTGGTTATATTCCTTTTGTTAAGTTGTATGAGTTATCTATAAATTATGGAGATTAAACCCTTATCCAATGTAACACTGGCAAATATGTTCTCCCATGCAGTGGGCTCTCGTTTTGTTGATGGTTTCTTTTGCTGTGCAGAAGTTTTTTATTTTGATGTAGTTCCCTTTGTTTATTTTCTCCTTAGTTTTTATTGCCCTAAGAGATGTATCAGTAAAGATATTGCTACAAAATAATGTCTGATGCTTTGCTGCCTATGAATTCTTCTAAGATTTTTATGGTTTCCCATCTTATGTTTAAGTCTTTTATCCATTTTGAGTTTATTTTTTTGTATGGTTTAAGTTGGTGATCCTGTTTCATTTATTTGCATTGGTTTTCTAACTTTATAGTGTGTTTGTGAGTGTATTAATTTAGGTCTCTGAGTAGTTACTATGGTCCTGTAGCTTTGGAAGAAGGTTATCTTAAAAGTTATCTCTATAGTCATAGGCAATGATTCATATCTTATTCATATAGACAGATCATTTATTAGTTAAATAGTTATAAGTGGAATATTTTAGGGTTTTGCTAAATTACATTTATATAGTCATTTAACACAAATCTATATGTATAAAAACCTAATATGCAAATTGTCCCCACGGGAGTTTGATCAGGGACCAATAGTTCGCTATGACATGCACTGACCACCAGGGGGCGGTGCGGAATAAAGGAAAGCCCCAGATGGCAGGCAGGGAAGGAAGACCCTGGCCGCCAGCTGGAAGGCCCCGATTGGCCCTGATTGCCAGCCAGGCCTAGGGACCCTACCCGTGCACAAATTTGGTACACTGGGCCTCTAGTATAATATAATGAGCCTCATAGGCTATGTAATGTGGCTCTTAAAAATATACTGTATTCTTGGTACTAGTAGGTGCTTAATGCTGAGCAAGAATTGTCATGTATTTATCAATAGGACATATACATAACACTAATTTAATTGTTACTACCATAACCGATACTAGTATACGTGACTTATCTACACTAATAAAAGAGAAAGATGCAAATTGACCGTATCTTTGCAGTGCCAACCAGCCAATCAGGAATGTTTAGGAACAAGCTACAATTATTCAAGTAATTGAGTTAAAGAGACTTAAATAGTGAGACTTTAAAACTTGGTGAATTTAGTTAAAAACGATTCCATAGAGTTTCTGGTGATAGTAGCTCAACCATTTATAGCAATTACTTCTGAAGTTAAAATAATGCTTTTTTATCCCTGTGGACTATTTCAGTTCAGACCAAATACCTTGGAAATTAAAAAGCAGGAAAACCTGCATTTTCAGCCTGAGGATAAAAAGCAATATGAAGGTTGAATTAGCCGTGTTTCTCAATATTTTAGATATCTTCTATCTAATATTTGAACCTTTGTGCTTCATAACTAAAACAGCTTTATAAAATATTGTATATTTTGTAAAATTTATGCTTGTGTGTGTGAATCCAGAAAACAAATTCTTAAAGCAGTTCAAATGTCATGATTACTTTTTTGCGCGTGACAGGGCCTGGGTTTCACCTCCCCACATCGAGTGGACAGTGAGCTGAGACCCCACATGGCTTTGGGTGCCGACTCTCACCCATGGCCATGGCCAAGGTCACAGGTGATTTTCAACCAACGCCAACAAATGTCTTTTTTAAGCCCAAAGGATTATAGACACACTACACTGTAGCTTTCTGAAGACATGGATTATGACATACTCATCTTTGTTTTTTTCCCCTAGAAGTTAGCACATTACCTTGTATACAGAAGCGGTGAATGAGTAGTTATTTTTAAATAAGTTAATCTATGATAAAATATATCCAACTAATTTTCTTTTCTTTTTAAGTTCATTGATAAAAACCAGAAAAATGTAAATTAAAGCATGTTTAAAATTATGTGTTCTTATGGAAATAATTTCAGTTATATCTGAAATAAGAATAGGTAGCAGTAAAAGATTAATGTTACTTAGTATTTGAAAATTCAGATTTACTTAAACAATACATTATGAAGTGATTCCTCATTTTTACAAAAGGATGCATTTAAAAAATATTCATAATGTAATAATTCAGATTTATTCAAGTAGTAAATGCTTAATAGAATCACCATTTTGCTCACTAAATTAGGCTTCACTCAGGAATGAACCAATTATGTAAATAAGTTACATGTATATGTCAAACATATCAAACTTTAAAATTGAGCTTTTTATAGATAAAGTATTAAATATGTGTACATTTAATTTAATGAAATTCACTCATATTAGGTATTTTTATTTTATAGGAAGGAGAACATATATAACTTGGTGCATTGTCTGGAATCACATGGTGAGTTTGGAGATAAATTAGATCCAAGGATTTCTGAATACCAAGTTTCATGTTTCAATATTTGGCTTTACATAAAATGACTCAAAATAGACTGATATCATGTGTTAGTACATAAGTGACAATTTACAACTTGATTGACGACAACCCTTTTTAGCCAAAAGTACTTGTTACAGCCATAACTGATACTAGTATACGTGGCTTATCTACACTAATAAAAGAGAAAGATGCAAATTGACCATACCTTTGCTGCACCCACCAGCCAGTCAGGAGTTAGTATGCAAATTAACCCAACAAAGATGGTGGGTTAATTTGCATATGCTGGCACTGAGTGGCCGGGGACGGGGTGGGATGCTTGTGTCGTCGTCATGGTGTTCCACACCCCTCTGGGCATCTGGGCATGGTGGGAAGACAGAAAGGCATTTCTGAGCCAGAATGAAGGCAGCTCTTGGCCTCTGGGCAGCGTGGGAAGGTGGAAAGGAGGCTCCGGGCCAGAATGAAGGCAGAAAGTTGGCTCTGGCCAGAGCGAAGGCGGTGCTGGCAGCTAGGGGAAGGAAGGCTCATTCTTGCACGAATCTTCGTGCATAGGGCCTCTAGTGCATTAATAACTTTCCTTCAGGAGAAAGGATGACAGGTAGGCATATTTCCTTAAAGATAAAAACTCTTAGAATTGTTAAAGTAACAAATGCTCATATAAAAACAATTAATGGAAATTAAAAAGAGAAACCACAATCTGAAAATGTTAAACCTAAAATCCCAGAAATAAACACTAAGTTTTAAATTGAGTGTCTTTTAGAGTAGCATGATGGACTCTCACCTTCCAACTCCATCCAAATCTGGGAGAATCATCTCTTTATCCAGTGTATCCATACTGCATAATGCTACCTGTCCACTAGTCACTTAGTCACTTACACAGTTGTCTCAGTTATCAGATAAACTATGGAATTATTAGCACTCATGTTCAAATAACCCTAATAAAATAGCCTATTGCTCTCACAATGCCTAAGCCATTCACCTCACTTTATCTCATCAGTAGGCATTGTAGTATCTCCTATCACAGGAAGAAGGGCGAATACAGAATAATATGACATTTTGAGAGAGAGAAAGACCACATTCACATAACTTTTACTATAATATATTGTTACTGTTCTATTTTATTATTGTTGTTAATCTCTTACTGTGCCTAATTAATAAATCAAACTTTATCATATGTATGTCTAGAGAGAAAATATAGTTTATATAGGGTTTATTACTGTCCTCGGTTTCAGGCTTACACTGGTGATCTTGGAATGTATTACCTATGGATAAGGGGAAACACTGTATTGCCAGTGGCAGTGTTTTGTTAAAAAGAATGAGGAAGTCCTCCATCCATTGTCTTTTGTATTAGTTTTCTAGGGCTGCCACAACAAAGTATCATAGACTGGCTAGATTAAACAATAGACATTTATTTTCTCATAATTTTGGAGACTACAAGATCAAGGTGCTGGTAGGGTTAGTTCTTTTCTTTTGTTTAAAGTATTACATATGTTTTCTTTTCCCCCGATTGACACTCCCCATCCCCCCAGGGCAAGCCCCCACCTCCCCAGTGTCTGTGTCCATTGGTTATGCTAATATGCATACATACAAGTCCTTTGGTTCATCTCTAACTCCCCCCTCCCCTGCCATTTTGTCTCTGGATCTAGTTCATCAAATTATGTTGTTCATTGTATCCCACATATGAATGAGATCCTGTGATATTTATCTTCTCCAACTGACTTATTTAGCTTAGCATAATGCTCTCCAGTTCCATCCATGTTGTTGCAAATGGTAAAAGTTGTTGCTTATGCCGAAACTGGTTTGGCTTGGTTGATAGCGTGTCGGCCTGCGGACTGAAGGGTCCCAGGTTCGATTCAAGTCAAGGGCATGTACCTTGTTTGCGGGCACATTCTCAATGGGAGATGTGCAGGAGGCAGCTGATCGATGTTTCTCTCTCATCGATGTTTCTTACTCTCTATCTCTCTCCCTTCCTCTCTGTAAAAAATCAATAAAATATATATTAAAAAAAAAAGTTGTTGCTTCATGGTAACACACCGTCACACACTTCAAAACCAGTTAAAGACACGTTAAAAAATCTTCCCTGGGATGTATTAACCCACCCGCCATATTCACCACAACTTGCTCCTTCAGATGACCACTTGTTCCGATCGATGGCACATGCACTTTCTGAGCAGCACTTCAAACGTATGAAGAAGTGGAAAATTGGGTCTCTGAATGGTTTGCCACAAAACAGAAAAGTTCTATTGGGACGGTATCCACAAATTACCTGAAAAATGGGGGAAATGTGTAGCTAGTGATGGGCATTACTTTGAATAAAGCATTTTTGATATTTCTCTTGAAATTACTGTGTTTTCTTTGATTACAAAATCCACATTATTCACGGGACCCCTGGTAGCGTGATATCTGGTATTGTGGTCCCTCCAACTTTGTTCTTTTTTCTCAGGATTGCTGTGGCTATTTGGGGTCTTCTTTAAAATTCCAGATGAATTTTTGGAGAGTTTGTTCTAGGTCTTTGAAATATTCCATTGGTATTTTAATGGGGATTGCAATGAATCTGGAGATTGCTTTGGGTAGTATGGATATTTTAATGATGTTGATTCTACCAATCCATAAACACAGTATGTTCCATTTGTTTATGTCTTCCTCTATCTCCTTTTTCAATGTCCTGTAGTTTTCCGAGTACAGGTCTTTTACCTCCTTAGTTAAGTTTATTCCTAGGTATTTTAATTTTTTTGGTGCAGTGGTAAATGGGTTTGATTTTTTTAGTTTCTTTTTCTGTGAGTTCACTGTTGGTGTATAAAAATTCCATAGATTTCTGGGTGTTAATTTTGTATTCTGCTACATTGCCAAATTCATTTATTAAGTCTAGTAGTTTTTTGATGGAGTAACTGGGATTTCTCTATGTACAGTATCATGTCATCTGCGAATAAGGACATTTTTACTTTTCCAATTTTTTTTAATATATTTTATTGATTTCTTACAGAGAGGAAGGGAGAGGGATAGAGAGTTAGAAACATCGATGAGAGAGAAACATCAATCAGCTGCCTCTTGCACACTCTCCACAGC